CTAAAATTCTACTTAATCCCTTAAATTGTTTTCATTTCCTTGTTCATCGTCTTCGTTTTTTAAAAACATGTTCTTCTTTAATTCTATTTGCTGTTTTCCTTCCCCTCAAACCTCTACATTTATGGTAATATTTACATTGATCAATCACATAAGTCAAAATAATGTGCATACAATTAACTCACTTGTAACTCACTTGATCCAGGATTATTCAGTCTTTAGACTATTGTTCCTATCCATGGTTTCGTCTGGTTGGGGTTGTCATCATATTTATCTGGGGCATCTTTCCACCATTTCTCAAGCCCAGATTTGAAACGATTGATAGTGGTACTCTCCACAACATCGCCTGGAAGACCATTCCACACATTGATTATTCTCTGGCTGAATGAGTTTTTCCTTAGTGTCTTCCGGCATTTTAGCTTGTGAAGCTTAATAGAGTAAAGCCTTTCAACTGGTTTATAATTATAAAGAATATATTTTTCATTGATCTTCTTTTTCGGCTTGACAGTCGTTTTCGCCTTTGACATTTCTTATTTTCCTCATTTTCTCTCCATTTCTGCCCATTTTCTGAAAATTCCTCTGGTTCCACTTGTTGTCTCTTACTCGTTTCTGATCATCTGGCATAATCCAATTTTTTTTTTTAATTCATGATTGATTTGTTTATACATTGTTTAAAATCAACTTTGTAAGTAGGCCTAGATTAATACACACAATTTGGATGTGCAAACATTTCCATATTATCTGCGCAATAAGGGAGGCACTCCCTAGACTAATAGACCATGACTACCCTCGCCTTATTAGTAGGTTAATTGTATGTATTGTCTACCGAAATAGCTACTTTTTTTTTATTTATTACTAAAGCCATTTTGTCCACATGGTTTTCTTTAAGAGCTACCTTAGAAATATAAGTATTTTTTACCCTGTTAAGAGCTTCTAAAACGAATTTTCATCAAAATTAGGGAGCATACTGTATATCCCCTGAAAATATATTAATAAATACTTTTTTAAAGTCTAGAGTACCTCAATTGTTTTTCACCCGATTATATCGTCAGTGAAACGTATAACATAAGAACCTATATTAATATTATCTACTCACAAAATGACTATTTACTACAGGGTGATGTGCAGCATTCACTATATTCTATCTATGTAGGCCTATACCAAACTAAGCTGCTGAAGCTTATTTTAGTGGGGAAGCTCCTTCAGCTATGCTGCCTAACGACTATTTACGGTTTGCCTATCGAGCCAGGGCTCCAAGGTCTAACGGGCAAATACACAAACTCGAACAGTCTTGATCCAATTTTCACCCTTGCTTCATCCCTTTGATGGGTTTACGACTTGACAGGTAATGGCGATCGTAAGAATGAAAGCTGTAGAAATAAAGGTTGAATATTTTGTAAGTTTCGTTTATGACTGTCCTTAGCAACCAAACTCCTCCCAAATCTGATGGTCGGTTTTTGTCAACATTTTTTCAACTAAATTACACAAGTTTTGTAAGACTTTGTAATCCTGAACTCACAGGAAACTACCAAGGAGGTCAGCCTTTTTCGACGAGTATTGAAAGGGTATTTCAGGTACGAAATGTTCATAGTGTAATATTGCTAAACTGAGGTGGAATGGTATATTTATCCAAGTCATCGCCTTCCGACGCTTTTAAATTCACCTAAAACCTGTAATTCAATTGGAATAGTTGGGAGAATTAAGGAATCGATCAGATCAGTTTTTACCAAATTTTATAATTAATATTGGTCTGTTTTCACTCAAACTTTAAGATTATCTTTAATTGTACATCTGTCATTAAAATTACTATCCTAGCACCATTTTATTTCATCTGAACAATGTTACCAAGACCCTTTAAAGACAAAACCCAAAACGTTGTGGATTTGATCTGATCAGAAAAGGTTGATCATCTAGCATATAAATATTGGTGTGTACTGCAAGATTCTGGAATCATCAAAATGATAAGAAATTTGGCCCAGTCTTGGTAAAGTTCATGTACACAGAAAGGTGTATATGGGACTACCGACACGTGCGCGATATCTATCAGGTCCAAATAGATAGTAGGCGGTTTCTCTGCAAAATTTGTATGATCACGTATTAGTCAAAACATATTCTATCACATGATTGGTAATAAGAGCTTCCATATTTTTTTGAGAGGGGGGCATTTCCAAAACTGGTCTTTACCTCAACATCTTTTTGTGGTAATAAATGGGATAAAATACATTGGACTTGCAAAAATAGCTAGTGCTTTCTTGTATTTCAAACGCAATATTTTTGAGGGCATTAATTTTGTTCATTACTGTAATATGAATCCCTCTAGAGTTATATTTGCTATTTTCATCAACAGAATCTTTGCCAATTCTACTGATTCCTTGCATTAAAAATGTATCAATTTAATGTACTATTTACCAATTTATTTCTCATTTTAATTACGAAAGAAGTAAAAAAGAAGAAGAAATGAATCAATGAGTGGTGCTTGAAAAACTGTTGATCAGATTGTAATTTATTAATTTATAAAATGATTCATATATCACGATCTACATGAACTATCATAAAACGTATATAAACAGATCCCAGTGGGAAAATGGCACATTTATATGTTTATTCTAACTTCAAGTTGCACCAGCATATATAGACACACCAAATCAGCTAAAATGTTACCTTACAGAGATTTGATAAACACATGTATGATCTATTTAATAACCACACAAATCTGAACTAGCGAGTACTGCATAGAATATAGGAATCATAATGTGAATTCTAACAAAAACATATATGTACACACACTTTTCATATGAAGATATAAACAAGAGCTCCTGCTCTTGAAAAACTATGGAAAGTATATTTATTTTCAATACATGTTTAGAAAACTACATGGGGTATGGACTATGTTGCGTGTTAACTAGTAATCCCACATAATTCCCTTTTTTAATTAAACTACTAAAAAGCAGTATCCCTCCAGACAAGAAAACACTTAATAAATGATCACATCCAGACAAATTGATTATGGTTAAAAACTGGTTCTATATTCTATAATTTCACACAAGATACAATGATTACAGAATTATCAGAAACCTCTTCTGTCTATCTCAACAGTGACAGACAATTAAACTATCACTAGGCCCTTGGTACTTTGGTAGTTACTATTAATAATCCAACATAGATAACTTCCAACAGCACATTAATGTAAAGGAGACTCAACTTAGTCACTATGGTATTAATGATTACCGCTGAATACAAGTCTCGAAATATCAGGAGTCTAGCTGTTCAGTACAACTTAAAACAGTACTAAAACAAGTCAGTTAAATATCATTCACACTGCATGAATAATAACAGTCAAGAAAATACTACTCAAATCTAAGCTAGCCAGCGTTTAGATTTACTTACATAGGCACGAAATATTGTGGTTCAAGAAACCACTAAACAAATCTCTACTTGTGTATGTGTACGGAATGCACAACACGAGAATACAACAATATATCGGTGGATCTAGACTATAGCAGATCTAGATCAGTAGACCAGGCATAGGCCTAGAACTAGTGCAATTATAAACATGTAAAATATGTGTTAGTAAGCGTACGCACTCAACAACAGGCACTCAGTCAGTCAAAATAAGGCCTCACAATGATAAACAATGCAAAGCATAAATCACAATATAATTAACGTTACGTGAGTCATTGGAGTTGAATTCAAAGTAGATCTTCTTCAAGTTCTAGGTAGATGTAGAAACTAGCTAGTCGAAAACAGTGGTCGACGAGCTGGTTGTCGATCGCGTAGGATATGCAGACGATGATCGACGCTAGGTGAATACCACGATGATGAAGACGATGTTGAAGACAATGATGATGACAACAATGATGAAGACGACGCTGGTGAAGACAGCGATGATGAAGTCGACGATGAAGACGACGCTGGTGAAGACAGCGATGATGAAGACAACGGTGATGAAGACAACGATGATGAATCAGTTAACAGATGAATACAATGATGATGCAGTCAATGTCAATAGATCAACTTCAGTGACTTGCGATGCAGGTCGAAGAATCAAATGTCGAGACAATATATATGAAGTCGATGATAAAAGGTTGTCAAACAATAATGCAGGTGAGAAAAACGTTAGATCATATTAAATGTTCTATTCTCACTGCTGGTGAATTAAAGTGTCGTCAATGTTGAACATCGAGAGAGTCAAAATATATCTTGCAAAACGTACAAAATGTAAATAGGTGAGCACGTCCACCGGGAATGGTCCGGGGACGTAGCAGTTCAATCCTCGTTGGATACAATTTTCTAGGTACAAATATCAACACAATAACAGCATGTGTGTATACCAATATTAAAACAGCTCACTAATTCCCACACAGGAAAATCAGAAGAGCGCCAATCAACTACAGCGCGATTGGTTCAAAACAAGCGCACATGTATGTTATTAAGGCACGTGATCTAAATACTTATGAATAAATACGCGTACATCTATGTTAATTGGTCATGTGATCAAAATACTAATGAATAAACATCGTTATATAATAAATCGAGTTAAAACCAGTTCTGAGGACATGGCGTAATACCAAATCCTCGAACTCTCAATGACTTCTAAAGCGGCCATTTTGGATTAAAAACACAATATGTATACCAGTGAATTATAAATGAATGCACTGTAACATTTGTCGCTACACATGTACTGTACCGTATATAAATTTCTAGTTGATTGTTAATCACTGTAAAATAGATCTTTTTGTAAGATATTCAATTTGGATAAAAAAGTATTTGTACATGCACTGGGCACTGGCAAAGGTTTTGAGGTAATTATAATGCATGCAGCATGAAACATCAAAGTCTCTTGAAAGATTTTACGTAAACTGTAATAAGCTTAAAATGTCTATATCTTAATTATAACACATGGCACATTCAAGTTGATTTTGCAAAGTTCATTCCAACGGCAAAGAGTGGCCAATAAGTTATAAATGCACATTAAAATACATCAGACAAAAGCAACAAAGTTCTAAATCAAACACAGGCATTTTATCAGCTCAATAACTGCTTTCATTTCAGTGATAAATTAAATATTTCAGATAATAATAATAATAATAATTACAGTGCTTATATAGCGCCTAACACTTACTTTGTCATTAACTTTTACTCAAGTCAACATCACTAACAGGAAACCAGCTGCTTAATATAAATTTTGCTTTCCATTTAACATTTGAACTAATTTTCAACATGATTTCCTAAAAAACAATTCATAACTTTAACATTGCTAAAAGAGCTTAGTTTAGACATTTATTATTTCAGTTTTTCATCTATTCAGTAAATGCATCATATTTCTATTCATACAATTAAATCAACCTAACAACTTTGATTATTTTATCTCTCATTGATTCAATATAATTACAATATAACCAACCTAATAATACTTTAAAATTGTACAATACACCATACGTTATCACTACTCACTTATCACTACTGACTAAGGAACAGATATAATATATAATTATAATAAAGTTATGATTATACTTCTATATCATGATTACAATCATCTGCATAATTTTGTTCTTTTATTATGAGTGGTATTCATACCCTATATAATAATTTGAAATCTCATGAATATTTATTACCACCTGCACATAAAGGCCACCTTCCTATTAAGACCACTTTTCTTGTCTCCCTTGAGTGGTCTTTATATACAGGTTTCACTGTATATCTTTTTCGTTAATACAATTATAATATTTTATTTACCGGGTATAACAAATTAATTTCATTAATACAATTTTAACATTGCTAACCCGTAGAGAAACTTTACACCCAAACGTGAGGCTATATAGCACTGAAGAGAGAATCTAACAACCTCTGAGCCCAGATCTCAAAGCTGCCTGGCTACTCCTCCAGTCCGACCAGTTTGAGGCTGAGATCCCAAAGCTTCCTTGCAGCTTCATCATCTCTGCCTTGTTTAGCTGCCTGCTTCACTGCACAGTCACTGAGAACACAAAATAGAGTTTAGAAATTACATTATTTTTACAATCTTTATCTATCTGGTTGTATTATTTTTAGTTTTGATTGCAAAAAAAGAAATCACAAAAAATGTAATAAAAGTGTGCCAGGGAATTAGCTAGAGAGGGCGCTTTTGTTATGTCAAGGCGTGATTTGAGCTACCTCTTGCGATTTTGATTTAAATTTGGGATTTTCATCAGTTGGAAATACATGCTGCATCTTTGTTCTGAAAATATTCCTCATTTTGACTTTGTTATTGGATGTAAGTAAACTGTGCTTGATATTTTCTTATTAATTGTGACATTTGAGCTTTGAACTTGTGCCACCTACCTATAGTAGAGTCCAGTCTCTTGGCCTGCCTTCTCATCTACGCTGCAGTAGATGTTGGTTTGAGCGCCCTCTTCAGATGTCTTGATGAAAGGCACCATGAGAGGCAAGAGGACCCTCAGGTAGAAGGGGTAGGAATCACGGTGGCGTGCAAGGTCGGTGTCAACACCTCCAGGATGGACGGCGTAAGAAGTCACACCAGATCCTGCATGTACGTATCAATGAGAGGAGTAAATATTGAGGGTTCAGTGACACAAAGACGTAACTCGATATTTTGCCAAAATGAGTATTTGATATAAAAGTGTTCAGAAAAATGTGGACTTTCCAGGAAACACAAAGACTGAACTCCACCCAACACCCCTGCTAGTGAAACATAGACTTAACTCCTAAAGGCCCAAGTGCTCAGTGACACATAAACCACTTTTTCTCAAAATGGCCAAAATGGAGTTACGTCTTTGCGTCACTGACCCCACGATATGCAGTTAAGGAATTTCAGATACGGTTATGAAATGAGGGAAGGGCTTAGTAAATTAAACCAAACATAGGCTTCAAATACAAGCTTACCTTTGAGACGCGTTGCAAGCTCACGTGTGAAGAGGACGTTAGCGAGCTTGCTCTGACCGTAAGCATCCATGTCACTGTACTTCTCTTTGGACATGATATCATCAAAATTGATCTTGCCAAATTGATGGGCGAGGGAGGAGACGTTGACGATGCGGCTCGGAGCCGACGCCTTGATTAGGTCAAGGAGGAGGAGGGTCAAGAGGAAGTGGCCCAAGTGGTTGGTTCCAAACTGCATCTCAAAACCATCCTCTGTCTCCCAGCGAGGGCACATCATAACACCTGTTACATTGGAGAAAGAGAGAGAGAGAGAGAGGGAGAGAGGGAGAGAGAGTGAGAGAGAGAGAGAGATAAAAGAGAGTATGAAAGACAGCAAGATGGTGGGATGAGTGAAAGAAAAAGAGAGATAGAGAGACAGAGAGTAGGGAAGAGAAGAGAGATAGAGAGAGTGGAGAGAAGAGAAATGAAGAGAGAGAAAGAGATAGAGAGAGATCGAGGGAGGGAGGGATAGAGAGAGAGAGAGGGGGGGAAGAAAAGGGAATATGAGGAATTAATTAAGAAACAGATGGGACATGCAGACAGGGATAATGACATAGGGGAAAATACAGTGAGATCAAAAAGTGGAAGAGGAGGGGGGGGGGGGGGGTGGGATAGACAGAGAAAGAGAGTAGAGATTGGAGAGGAATAGAAAGTAGTGGAAGCGAAGGTGGGAGTAGAGAGAAAGATAATTAGAGAGAGTGAATGGTAAAGAAGACAAAGTTGCTTAGCAGTCCCCAAATTCAACAGTGTCACTCATCGATATGTACTATTTCTCTTCATTAATATGGCTAACATTTTCAAATACAACCTAACAATATAATGTTGGTATCATAGTTCTTATTGGAAATTTCCTCAAGATACATAAAATTACACTTTGGTTTCATGCCATTATATTTGTCTTTTTCACAGATGGCATAAAAAGGTAGAATATGACTCAAAGAGCTCAGACCTCAGCGCATATATGCTAATGAGGCTTACAGTGAAGATTTACTCAGCATCTTGTTCGCGAACTTAACTGATTTGCATGCGCTGAACTGAGCATTGGTGATTTTGAAGTGTCATGCTTTCATGGCGATAATTACGGATTCGTCAGAATCTAATTGAACATATAATCCATAATTTCTAAAGTATTGTTTTCACAATATGAATTGACTGTAATTTTGCATTAGCGATTCTTACCGGCATTGTTGACCAGCACATCAAGTGATTTTTCCTCTTTCTTTAACTCCTCTACAAACTCTCGGATGGACTTCATAGAAGCAAGGTCCAGTTTCTTGACCACCACGTTGGAGCTTCCAGATTCTTTGATGACATCTAGTTGAGCTTCCTTCGCCTTCTCAACGTTCCTGCATGCCATGATCACTCGGGCTCCTAGCAAAAGGAAAAAGACATCATCAAAGATAATGTTACTATGTGCCTCTTCAATAAAACGGGCAAAATTGTACTTAACTGCATTATTGATACTAAAATCAATATAATTATAAGCCAGAAGCTCATATATATCTCCTCTCCAGCGCATCCAAAATTCAGCAGCTAGATTGATCACATTAAGTAGGAAATATGACCATATATCACCCGTTCATCGCTCACTTCATCATTGGCTACCGGTTCATTCTCGCATTACTTTCAAAATCCTACTTCTTTCGTACAAAATAACACATAACCTTGTCCCTAAATATCTTCTTGACCTAGTCTCCCTTCGATCCTCCTCTTCTGCCAGATCCCTCCGTTCATCTTCCTCCATGCAATTAATTCAAGGCCCACGAACAAAAACCTGTTATGGTGACCGTGCCTTTTTATCGATTGCCCCCGCCCTCTGGAACAAACTCCCACCCCATATTCAAAATGCCCCATCCATCGAATCATTCAAAACCCTTCTCAAAACCCACCTTTTTAATCAGTTATAGTTTACTGGAGGCACACACAAGTATTGTATTGCATTGTATTAGTAATATTTCATTTTACTTTGTTGCTTTTAAGGTATTAAACATGTTGAATAATTAAAAGTTAGACAGTACCACCTGTGCGCTTAGAATCATCTGTATAAAGCGCCCTATAAATGTAATTATTATTATTATTAAGTTCTTCATATGACCCTTGAGAAATGTTCACCTTCGATAATCGGCTTCATCCTGGAACTAATGGGGGAGATATACAGTCAAGCAGTCTTCATCGCCAACCATATCTGACAAAGCGTTGGCCATCACATTTAGGCAAAATTTTCTTTGCAAATTGATTGTGTAAGTCGAAATATGTACTATTTGAGGATTCAGTATAATTATACCGTAACAGGTTATCGTTTCCCCCAGAGTAAACTCTGTGATGTGGAACGTACTGTTTAGAAGGGCCAACATAGGTGACTTTCGATGTGTATAGTCTACATGAATGGCTGACTGTATGGATAGGTTTAACTCTTTATCTGCTATGATCAACAAATGGGACAGTGCCATGGACTCTAGCTGCTACGTACAGTTCACATTCATATTATGTACAGGGTGTCAAATACAATGTGGGCAGTTTAGGAATTCAATTACAGTATTGGTGGAAACAGGAATAAATACAGTGCGTCCCAGAAAAAACGAAACCGAGAAGTATCGATGTTTTATCATAACTTAATCACAACCATAATTAATGAATGATACATTATTTGGGAAGCTTAGAGTCTCCTCTTTTAGTTGATGCTACTCAAGTGATGCATATTTCACGCATGAGTGATTAAAAGCAATTTGAAGGAAGGAAACCAAAAAGACATTTTGCGAAGAAAGTTCATTTTCTGCTCTTTCATATGATACCTCAATCAAGAAAAATGAGCCAGCTAGAATAACAAAGTTCTTTAAAGTAGCCCTTACATTTTCATAATTTTAACAAAACGAATTCGTTTTCACTGGGTGCCTGCTGTGGCGAAAAGTAGATTTGACAAAAGACTTAACTCCGTTTCGTTGACAATCGGCCGTAGACGAGAGTCTTCATGCATGGCTGATTGTCATTAATTTCGTTTATTGATACGGCAGGCAGCCAGTGAAAACGAATTCGTTTAATAAAATTATGGAAATGCAAGCACTACTTTAAACAAACAGAACTTTGTTATTCCTGGCTCATTTTTCTTGATTGAGGTATCATATGAAAGAGCAGAAAATGAACTTTCTTCACAAAATGTCTTTTTGGTTTCCTTCCTTCAAATTGCTTTTAATCACTCATGCGTGAAATATGCATTATCTGAGTAGCATCACATGAAAGAGGAGACTCTAAGCTTTCCAAATATGTATCATTCATGAATTATAGTTGTGATTAAGTTATGATAGAACATTGATACTTCTCGGTTTTGTTTTTTCTGGGACGCACTGTATATGAAAGCAATTCTTGAAGTTCGGTTCGTACCTCTTTTTGCTAGGTCCTTTGCAGTCTCTTTGCCAATCCCTGTATTGCAGCCTGTAATGATAACTGTCTTTCCATCCATCTGAGCTTCACTATAGCAACGACCCCCTTTGAGCCATTGCCTTAGCAACACCCCTCCAACACACACACCTGTTAGGAGTGTATAATATATTGATAATAGTAATGAAATAAGTATACAATTTTTTACACTTAATACCAATAAATGCCTGACTTAATTAGGGAGGCACAACTGCCCCATGCCCCCACTTTTAAAACCAAATCATGTATGCACTCAAAGTACTCAAATGAATTTTGGTGTGTGGCCCCCTTTAAAACAACTCAAAATGAACTTGACAATGTAATCTCTCTCTCTCTCTCTCTCTCTGTTAGAGAGTGATTTGGGGCACAGTGACCCAGCCACTGATCCCCTTTTCACAGAATGCTGAATCTGCCCTGAATCATAATAGGGAAAGTAAATAAAGTTCCTAGCGTCTTGTTTCGCCCCCTGTTGTAATTAATTTGTATTATTTATGCATTTCACATCATCATCCCCACCACCACCCCCCCCCCCACCACCACCAAAACTTATAGGTGCCCTCTTTTTTTGTAATAAGTGCATTAATTTTGGCCATTTAAGAAGTGCCCTTTCCATGTGATATATAGACCATCACATAAAACAGCAAAATATGGTGCTGAAGCATTTTTTGGACCACATATAGAGAAAATTTTGATGTATTCAAAACAATGTAGTAATCATATTATACAATGTCTAAAGATTGTAATTTTTTGCTTTGAAGTAACCCTTTGTGAGGTAACCCTTTGTAGGTGCCCCCCCCCCACTTTGAAAGATGCTCTGCCGTGCCTGCTACTATACTAATTACGATGTTTTTGCTATGATGATGATGATAATGATGACAATAATAATAATGAATATGATTATATAATTTTATTGTACACTGTATGAAACATATTACAATGAGATAGACCCATGATGTAAAGTAATTAATTGATACTAGCACTTTACTCATAGAAGACAAATTCATAAGAACATGATAACCATGAGAAGATCAGCATCTAATTCATTTCAGGAATGCTAAATAAAACAAATTACAAAATTTAAATTTGATATCGCAACATCTTCTACCTAGGCTAAAATTACAGTTAACATGTTTTGTATTTATCTTGTGTTATTTGATATTTGCTGAAAGACCATCTATTACATGTATGTGCAAGCACTTCAGCTCAAAATATTTTGAGGGGAAACAATTCTGCTCTGGACAATATGCAGGTATTGCCAAAAGTGCTGTGTCATTGTTTGCCAAGCTTTTTCATATATGGCAAACAATAAGCTGCTACGTGCCGCCTGGCAGGCATGGCAGCCCAGACAATTCAAATTCATGACCCTGCAAATAAAAAATGTTCAATGCATGAACTTTTTAAGGTCATAGCTTCACAACGTGGAGTGAAATTTACGTTTTGATGGCTTAGTTTAATTCCTGACTTCTTTATGATGAATCTATGATGACTATTAAAAATATTAAGAATAGAAATGTAAAAATTATTGAATTACACATATATATATCAGGGAATAATTTTCCTGGTATCGCATCGCAATTTGCTATGCATTTTTGCATGACTGCTATACAAAATATCTTTTGTGTAGCAGTTTTCTTCCATAGAAATGTACAGAATTTCATTTGAAATATTTATCCATCGGCTGAAATTGCTAATCAAAAAATTTGAGGAAAATTATTCCCTGTATATAACCACAAACAAGATAATGAGAAATTCAGAAAAGACTTTCATACACAACTTCACGTTTAGGGTGCATGCAAATAATTTAATCATCATTTTATTGTACTCGATCTTCAGGCTATACACAATTCTGCAAAATTTCATGCAAATCCAATAACTATAACTCAAGTTCTTGACTTTTCACTATAAAAATCTTTCACAATTAAGAATGGGCTTTGAATCCTTTGATGATTTAGTTAAATAAAACATGGAATTCTGAATTTTAAGTGTACTAATTTTTTTCAAGAAAGGGGGGGGGGGGGCCGGGGGTAATGAGCATGAGCACTAATTTTTTTAATGTTTTTTTTGCTCAACATGGGAGGTAGTGAGCATTTCTTTTTAACTCAACACCCCCCCCCCCCCAACCTTGAGCAAAAAAAAAAAAGAAAAAAGTAAAATTGTGGCTATATAGGTGACCATCTTTCTTTAATTTAATTTTTTTTTTGCCAGGGGTGATGGGAGGCCCTAGAATAGATACGTCACTGATAATAATAGGTTTCTCCACGAATCAATGTTCCAATACATATATTTATTATATCGGTAGTTTAATTTGGTACCTCGTTTATTTGATGAAAGTGCACTGAGCTGAGCTATATGGGCCTGCCTAGCCGGTTATATATCTAGATTCTATAGCCCAGAAGAAAAAACCAGTTGCAACTGGTCCAGTTAAACCAGTTAAAGCCAACTGGTAACCCTGGAAATTGAAAAGGGCCAGTTGAACCAGACCAGTTGAATTTTAACTGGACCAGTTAGAATTCGACCAGTTGAAATCCAACTGGACCAGTTAGAATTCAACTGGTCAGATTCTAACTGGTCCAGTTGGAATTCAACTGGTCAGATTCTAACTGGTCCAGTTAGAATTCAACTGGCTCATTTCAATTTCCAGGGTTACCATTTAACTGGATCTAACTGGACCATTCAGACCAGTTAGAATTCAACTGGCCCATTTCAATTTCCAGGGTTACCAGTTGGATTTAACTGGTCTAACTGGACCAATCAACTACCAATTGAAAACGTAATTAGTAATTAAAGGCATAAGTAGCACTTGTACTAATTAATTTTGCCAATTGGCAACAACCCAGTATAACTAGATCGTCTGCAATTTCCAATGTAAAGGCATTGGTAATAGGTAGACTTGTTAACTAAATATTTTGAATATACTTGTATTTTATCGAATCTATTTTAGTTCATAGTTAATGTTTTCCTAAATTCATGTTTAATTAAATGTTATTTACACGAAGTAATGAAATGTCCTCATAATTGGCAATTTGTATTTGTAGTATTTTCGAAATGGATTGCACATAACTAAATCAGCAGTAATTAAGGAATATGCTGTAAATTCAGATAAATTGTATTGAAACATAGATATGCACGCACCCTATATCCATTATGCAAATTAGCTGGTGTCAACTGGAAATATACACCCGGACCAGTTAGAATTTGACCAGTTGAATTCTAACAGGTCCAGTTGGAATTCAACTGGTCAAATTCTAACTGGTCCAGTTGGAATTCAACTGGTCAGATTTTTAACTGGTCCAGTTAGAATTCAACTGGTCAAATTCTAACTGGTCCAGTTAGAATTCAACTGGTCAAATTCTAACTGGTCCAGTTGGAATTAACAGACCAGTTATCAACTGGAAATATGCCCACAGACCAGTTATCAACTGTTGCAACTGGAAATATGCCCACAGACCAGTTATCAACTGGCACAACTGGAAATATGCCATGCACATCTAGACCAGTTATCAACTGGTGCAACTGGAAGTATGCAAACAGACCAGTTATCAACTGGTGTAACTGGTCATTATAAGGACTGGTTCCAGTTAAATGAAATGCAGTCACACCAAATATCCGCTTGATGTGCATCATGGACCAGTTAGAATCAACTGGAACCAGTTGAATCTAACTGGTTCCAGTTGAAGTTAACTGGAACCAGTTGGAAATTTCAACTGGTGGTAACTGGTTTTTCCTTCTGGGAGGATAGCTAGCCTACATGTGCAGGACACGAGCACAGGCCAAGCTGCTGGGATGGATGCCGCGCATGACTGGGTCTATAGCAGCGGCTCTTCATGCTGAGAACCGCAATTAATCATATCAATAAATATGGCCTTATGGGTTTTCATTTTTCTTACCTAAAGCACCGCCGGCAGTAATTGTCACAACATTCACCATGGTTGAAGAACCGAAGAACTTATATGGCCAATCGCAAACTAAAAAAGAATGACGGTGCTCGATGATTAAGAATCTTCAACTGTGAAGTGAAGGAGGTAGATAACCCCAAAGAAGATCAGCTCAAAGTCCTTGAGGTCGCCGTCAGAAGCAGACAATGTAAACAGAAACACGCTTAGTCTTTTTCTAAGCCGTTTAAAATTGTTTGAACACCGCTAACCCGGCCTACTGTGGATTACCGTGCGTCTTCATTTTATTTCAGTAACCTCATTTTGAAATAAAAATCTATAATTTAATAAAGCAATATTCATACTTGTGCGTTAACAAATGAGGGGTAGAGTCTAGGTCTAGAAGGCCAAGCTGCACATTATAAGCCATAATATGATTTTAAAAAATTCTCCGAGCTCCTGCTATTTTCGGGCCTTTATTTTTCAGACTACCTGCCACGCCCACTTTCTTGGCTTACTTCTTCTACCGCTCGTGTATTTCGATTTGGGGGATTTCGATATCACTCCACACATGGCAAGGGCGGTTGGCGGGGGTGGGGGTACTCGCCTAATACGGTATACGGGGATGTACTGCTCTAATGGGTTACTTTTTTGCAAAAAATCCCTAAACACGGGGTGCGATTTTGTTCCCTAAAAGTGCCCCCACTTTTCAGATCTTGGCCACTAATTTTTTTTCAGTTAAATCATGAAAAATGTGAATTTTGATAAAAGTTCATAAAAGATTACTATGTGAAATGTCATGCACGCAATATGATACAAATCATATGAACTGGGCAAAGGCTTTGGGAAATCAAGTTCTTGGGGATAAAAAGAGAAATAAATGAGATAAAAATATTCAAAGCATCGAGGCAACGACGTGATAAACTGGTAACCAAATTGCCAATTTGTGTAGTGATTTATAGCTATCCGATTTTACTAAAATCTGCTTTGCTCCGTCTCTCTTGTTTTTCTGCATCTATTAAAACCAAATCGTTTTTGGAGTGGGCTTTCATGCAAGTGGAATATGGGTTGTGTTTTGAATGGAAGTCCCTAAATAAGAGGTACCATTTTCTGCCAAAATGACCCTTAAAGATAAACTTGAGTTCTGGTAAAAAAAAAAGAAAATGAATTCTCACAGAATCGAACGAAACTTACACTGAATGTTCAAGATTACAAATAAATGTCATGTGCCAAAAAATTTTGGAAGAAAATGTATACTGCCTGAGTAATGAGCATAGAAAGATAAGGAAATCAGGGTACGTAGTACCAGCCTCGACAACACGCGTGCTGTCCCATATACATCTTTCTGTATAAGTGATTGTTACTTTACCAAGACTCTGCCAAATTTGTGATGATTTAGATGACTACAGAACCTTGCATTACACACCATTACTTACATGCTACATGATCAACTGTTTCTGATCCTTTCCACACCTTTCCTTTCAAAATGCAATCGCATTACCAGTACTAAAGTTTATCTTTAACAATAGGTATGGGTTAAGACCCTTCAGCTGCACATCCCCGTCCAAACCAAATACGAGTACCCCCCCCCCCTCCCCAGTCTGTACATGATTTTGAATTGTTGCAGTGTTGCCCATACCGTTTGCCCTCATTTCATGAAATGATTGTGAAAATATGATTTATTCTTGATAGATGAAGTTGATATAGGCCTATCTAATTCTCAGAATTTTGATCAATCTAAAAGGTCACAGATGTTGATCAATAAAGTTTTGAGAAAATAACATTGTATATAATAAACCATATTGTTACATTCATTTCATGAAAAGGGACAAGAAAAAATTATTCCAACTTTATTAGTTGACAGTTTATGCCATCATAGATCTACTACGTTCATGATTCCATCAATGCATTACAATAGCAAGGAGTTTCCAGCTTCTAGCGATTAGCACAGATATTAGTCGACAATATTATTATTCAACATGAGTATTTGACATTTATAGATATTTATTAGTTGGTAAAACTTTTAAAGAGGTTTAATGTAGGCGAGGCGCGATAGCTCAGTCAGTAGAGCAGTGGTCTTGTAATCCGGTGACCCGGGTTCGAAACCAAGGCGATGCGCTAGTGCCCTTTGGTAAGGCATTAATCCTCATTACCAGGTCCCTCGGAGAGGACCTGAAGCCATCAGTCGTCTGGTTGCTTACTTACAAGCATTTATGCTCTCTTAGCAGTCAGGTAAAATAACCACCACCACATAACCACTGTCATTTAAAAATAGATAATTTACACTATGAATACAATAAAACATGATCAAGCAGTTTGATTAATATACCTTTAATTGATATAAATTAGTACAACTCATTGGCATGTTGGATCAACCGTGTGTTAAAATACACCATCACTGACAAAACACCTACAATATTCAGATAGTACATATATAATTGAAAGACATAAAGTAAATCAAAGGTTTGATAATGTGTTGATGATGATGAAATTAAGCTCAAGGGAAATAGTAAGCAATCATTTCAATTCATGAAGTCGACTATGAGAAGAAAATACATGGTGGCACCGGTGGGATCGATAAACATCATTACAGCATCATTGGGGGAAGCTAGGGTGAGGGGGCTGAGGCACAAAAACTAAATCTGGGCTCCGTCTTACAAAGAGTTGCAATTGATCCAAATCAATCACAAGTCCTCCAATCAATCACAAGTTTGCAGTGTCCTATCTCTTATGTACATAGTCTAGTTGCGATTGATATTAATCGACAATAAGTTTCGATTGATATCAACTCGTTGTAAGACGGGGCTCAAGTGTATCTTCATACAAAACAATGTAGGTACCCTTTATTGTGCCCCCTTGCATTGTTTGCAACAATTTTAGCCCCTAAAGGCACCTGAGAAGACGCAATACCCCCCCCCCCCCCCCCCCCCCCACCCCCCCCCCCCCCCCCCCCCCCCCCCCCCCTCTCCCTCTTATTTGTGTGATATCTTCATCAATATCATTATCTAGACCGTTTCAACTACCGGTATTGGGTGGAGATCGGGAGGCAAGGGCTATCATGCAAAATATTTTGTGATTGACTGCAAGGTTAACCTTTTCCAAATTAACATGGTGACTTCACACACAAAACAGCACAATATTTAGTTCTCCTAATATAATCTTAAAATAGGCATACTGTACATAAAGTTCTATGTATTCATTTTTTGAGATGTCTGCCTTGATTAGAAAGTTCCAAGATGGGGGAGAGAAAAATGTTGATTTGAAATGCAGTCCTTTGTGAAAAAGGTGCAGTTTTACATGACACTTCACTTGATTGGATACAAGAAACAAGTGGAATATATTATTGGTTTAGTACTCAATTTACAACCCCACATCAATGAAAACTAGACATTCAATCAAAAGTAATATAAACACTATGAATAGCAAAACACTATAAGTGCTGAAGGCTTTCTTCAACATAGCTACCCTTTACATGTATGCGACCACCCATTTATACACCTTGCTACAGTATGGTTACTATGGTATTTGAAAACAGTGCACACAATTTGTGTCATTGAATGTACTTTGTTAAATCAATTGGGAACTGCTTATCATCATATGCTAAAGATCTCTGTCTGTCAACTGTTTAAAATTCAAGATTTAAGAAACAAGTATTTAGGTTTTGTGTGTGTGACTGGTGTTCTATGGATTCTTCTGTCCGTGCTTCTTCTTGTTTTGTCTGTCCTTTGTGTGTTTGTGTTTGTATGTCCTAGTTCTATCATGCTGTTATTAATTTTGTTTGCCTTCAGGTATGTATAATTTGTATGTAAAATGTTTTGACTTTAAACAAAATTGTTTAAGGCACTCTGAGTCTCTGACCACAAGCATATATTATTTTATTCAAGAGACATCACCACCTAAAAATTATTTTCACTGTACATATTTGAACATATTAAAACAAATTGGAAAATATATGTTTACCTGAATGGAAATGAAGGAAAGAATTTTAGCAGGGGAATCCTTATGAATACATGTTCATTTAACTACATGTTTATGGAATTCCCATATAATACTATTCAGCTAGGAAAACAGTGATTAATTTGCACAAAAACTGTAAAAGAAAGTTTAATCAGTCATCGAAAACATATTGGGAAAGTTACTACTGATATGATGTTTAAAAATCCAGTTGATTTGGTTCAAGATCAAGATCCAAAAGCTGCCTGGCTACTCCTCCAGTCCGACCAGTTTGAGGCTGAGATCCCATAGCTTCCTTGCAGCTTCATCATCTCTGCCTTGTTTAGCTGCTAGCTTCACAGCACAGTCACTGCATCAAAACATACACATAATATGGTTACAGTGAAAAGAGAGAAACTTCAGGAATCTTAAAGACCGCCAATACTACTGAGCCAGAAGGGATTAGACCACACAGCGAGGTCAATGACAGGTGGCTATCTCATTAACTCAGCTCTCAACTAACATAAGAAAAAGAGGATCATGGGGGACCAACAGGCACCGATTGGGGAAGTTTTCTATATAGAGGGAGCAAGTAGCTACAAGTAGGACAGCGGGGCTTTAAGGAACTGGTTTAGTGTTTATGATGCCAGATACGGACTTAAAAGTAAAGAAGGACAACATTTCTGAGTCAGCGACAACATAAGTTAGCATTCTGTCTAGAAATGTGGAACCTTTCACGTGCAGCTACACAGTGCTTCACAATGTGCTTCACAATGTGCTCCATACGCATTTGGACCGCTCAAACAATAACAAACCAATTCAATGCAACTGCAAACTTTCAACAATGCTATATTGCTTTGGTCGTCATCCCCAAGAGATGCAGTAAGGCTATATTCCATTAAAGGGATCCGCTAACTTTGTCTTAGATCCTTAAAACAAATCCTTGATTTAGCTCATGCTGCAATGATAATTATAAACTTTTAGAGCAGTCAGGAACCCCATGACTTTTACAAGCCGATTGCCTGTCTGATTATCAAGATATTTATGATTGAAAATCGAAAATCAAATTTTGCGTTTGCCAAACGGTTTTCAAAACACTACAGTCTATTGGGGAAAACGAGTATGGTAAAACCGGTCACTCAAAGGTTTTTACTTTTTTTAAGGCACTTCTTGATCATTTTTTAAGGGCTTCAATATAACACCATATCACAGACACTGATAACACGTAGGGCCGTGCATCTCAGATTTAACATTGTTAAACAATCACTTTAAGATTAGACCAATAGTAAACATAGGGCTGTGTAGTTTTTACCACTCACCTATAGTACAGTCCACTTTCTTGGCCTGCCTTCTCATCCACACAGCAGTGGATGTTGGTCTGGGCACCCTCCTCGGCGGTCTTAAAGAGCGGACGTATGGATGAGACTCCAAACTTCACAAATGGGTTGTACGAGTCTTGGTGACGCTGAAGATCCGTTGCCACACCGCCGGGATGCACGGCATATGAGGTCACACCAGTCCCTGAATCAAGAAAAGCAGAAAACTATTTCATTAAAATTTCACCAAATAATAATCACAGGAGTGTATAGTGGGTATCTGCAAGGGTGGTGTCTAAGGGCGCGTTTATCAGGGCTTGCCACTAGATATGTACATATCGTACCCACTATTGAACCCCACTATCATACCTCACTATACGATCGTGATTTGTGGGATGTCGCGTTTATCGTCCCTTCACGATTCAAAATAAAGGCCTTGTGTCTGCCCAGCTGTTTTGACCCGGGAAGCAGACAGTTTCTCGGAGGTCAACTTCACACACATGCTTGTACACAACACCTGGGTGGTCCTATTTGTATGTGAGGTTCAAAACAGCTTTGCGTTTATCGATCTCTCAGAAACATGATTCTAGCTGTATGTCACATACAAAACACACCTTTTTGCGTCTTTAGATATGCCCATATCTAAAGTCCTTTAAAAAAGGCTTTGCGTTTATCACCTTCTAAATTTGCCTGAAAGACGTTTGAGAAACCTGATTCTAGCCAAAAATCTGGTCGATAAACGCAACCTAAGTAACAAATCTTTTCATAAGGTATTTCATTTTGTTTCCCCTTTATTTCATTTCATTATTCGCTTAAACTTAAAAGCTCATATAGTAAAAGTCAAGGGTATTTAATTTTGATTGGATAAGAATTTAATATTTACCCTCATGCCCTTTATACCATCTTTCATAGGGGCTTTTAACCACTAAAATGTTAAGATGTAATATTTTGGTAATCCTAACTAGTGACTAGGATTAAATCCTAACCCTAACCCGATATAACTTTAACAAAATAAAGCCCAGAGCTGTTCTTGCCACTTCCCAGAGCATAATTTGTATGTAATTTGGAGCAAGAAGGGCATTAACTCTGTGTTTAAGTATACAAGTTGACACCCTCCTCGCTCCAAATTAAACAGACGATACGTTGGAACACCAAGTGAAGGACTGTTCTTCATTGTCCTTGATGCAAACCAAAAATTGTTGGATAAAATGAACAGAGCTGACAAGTCTGGTAAATTTAATTTCTTCTTGCAGGAGACAGGCTTACCGTTAAGACGCTTGGCTAGCTCACGGGTGAAGAGAACATTAGCAAGCTTGCTCTGACTATATGCTTTGATATAATCATAGTTCTTTGTTGACATGATATCATCAAAATTCATCTTCCCAAATTGATGGGCAAGGGAGGAGACGTTGACGATGCGACCCGGAGCCGACGCCTTGATTAGGTCAAGGAGGAGGAGGGTCAAGAGGAAGTGGCCCAAGTGGTTGGTTCCAAGCTGCATCTCAAAACCATCTTCAGTCTTCCATTGAGGACACATCATAACACCTGTTACATTAGAGAGTGTGAGAGAGAGAGAGAGTGAGAGAGAGAGTGAGAGAGAGGGAGAGAGGGGAGAAAGAGACAGACAGAGAGAAACAGAGAGAGAGAGAGGGGGGGGGGTACAGATATAAAATATACTTTATAACTGAGAAGTCAAACCTAATTCTATATCAACTACAACTCATATAAATCAAACAAACAACTTTCTGATTTATCATATGCTTGAAAATTAGTAATCACTAGCAGAATATTGTATATCTCAGAAAGGAATAATTTTGAGAGGAAAATGTAATAATTTTGAATCTGGACAATATCCTTCATATGGAGATATATCTGTGTAACTGTAAACTGTACCCCAAAAATGCAACTGTTCTGTAAAATGTTTAATCTTCACAGAATATTTTCGATAAATAGTTACCAGCATTGTTGAGTAGCACATGAAGTGATTTTTCCTCTCTCTTAATCTCCTCTGCAAACTCTCGGATGGACTTCATAGAAGCAAGGTCCAGTTTCTTGACCACCACGTTGGAGCTTCCAGATTCTTTGATGACATCCAGTAGAGCTTCCCTCGCCTTCTCAACATTCCTGCATGCCATGATCACTCTGGCTCCTTGGAAGTGGAATAAAGAATAGATATTCTCAGTTAAAAAGATTTTGTTGTTCCCAACATCTTTAATAGACCTGAACTCAGTCTGTACCACCCTAATATAACTTGCATTACTGTAATTTACTCTGTATTGGCTATTTAAAGTACCTCCAAATCCTACATATATATATGTCTGAATTCATACCTGTATATTATAAAGCGGATGTAACCTTGATTTTACGTTGAAACTGATGTTTTAACTATGTTATTGCAAAATTATGTCATGAAGCATGTTAAAATTGATATATACTGTAGTTTTCTTACTTTTCTTGAATGACTTTATAGATTTATGCAGCCAATTATCTCACAACTGTAACACAGGAGTTTCAATTATGACAGACATGGGGCATCACAAATGTTCAATTTTATTATTATTTTATTATTACCAGATGATATCATACCATTATTGACATATCATATCTTCAGAGCCAGAAGGAAGTTAACTTTTTTAAAAATACGTTATAATATAATACCGGTGCCAGTTTTGGTTCAATGGGTAAAACTGAAGTGCAATTTCTTATCAGTTCTATGTCTGTAGAAATATTTTCCCTTCAATATTCTGAGTGATATGGCAAATATTTGTGGTTGAACCATATTGATAAGTAAAAAAAAATACATAGATTAATTTACAATATAGGCTTGGTCTTAACTTTTAAAAATCTTAAAGACTAAAGTTGAAGATAAATTTGAGTTCTGGTAAAAAAAAAAAAATTAATTCTCACAGAATCTAACAAAACTTACACTGAATGTTCAGGATTACAAATAAATGTCATGTGCCAAACAATTTTGGAAGAAAATGTATACTGGCTGAGTAATGAGCATAGAAAGATAAGGAAATCAAGGTAGTAGTTAGCCCCGACACCATGTGTGTTGTCCCATATATATCTTTCTGTGTAAGTGATTGTTACTTTACCAAGAATGGACCAAACTTATGATGATTTTGATGACTCCAGAACTAGCTTGCATTACACACCAATACTTACATGCTATATGATCAACTTTTCTGATCCATTCCACACCTTTTCTTTCACAATGCAATCGCATTACCAGAACTCACCTTTATCTTTAACACAAGAAACCAACTTACAAGAAAAAGTATCAGCAACAAACAGATAAATAATATGTACCTCGTCTTGCAAGATCCTTGGCAGTCTCCTTGCCAATGCCAGTATTGCTCCCTGTAATGATGACTGTCTTGCCATCCATCCGAGCTTTACTATGGCAACGACCTCCACGAATCCACTTTCTCAGTAGCATCCATCCTACGACAGCAACTGGAGAAAAAACAAGAATACCAACAGAAAAATAAATGAGTGGAACATGCATTGGTACAGTTTTTATTTAACTCAAACACGTTGTATTAAAATTTGATGCTTTTTGTGGTCTTCGTAACTCAAGAATGAAAGGTGGACTGGTTGAATTAGGGTCTTTGTTGATTACTTTTAAATGGAAACTTTATTCATGTCACATTCTCAAGGAATGTAAATTGGGGAAGAAAAAAAAATTGAATACTTACAAAACTTGTTGTTGTTGTTTAATTCAGGTAAGTCAGTAATGCCGAATACTATACCAAATTTCTTTTGAATTCAAATTAACGTATAAACACTTACTAATTATGCGTGTATATGTATATTTCTTCTTTTTCTTAAAAAAAAAAAAAAAAAGGGGGGGAGATAATGATGTTAGATTACCGATCCTTGTCCTTTTTGTGTGGGGGGGGGGGGGGGGGGGGGTGGGGGAGGTGGCGTTATCCTGACAAACCCGCTCAATATGGTACGTTACAAACTAGTGCTGTAGTCAAAACGTTTAACCGTCCGGTATCCGACCGCCCATGGCGGATTCCGTTTTCAATTGGACGGTTTCGTTTTCCCGTTTTAAAAAAAAAAAAAAAAAAATAATTTTTTTTTTTTTTTTTTTTTTTTTTTTTTTTTTTTTTTAAGTTTCGATTTATGCCCCTCCACCTGGCACTATGCCTGGCAATGTCTCCCAGCTCAGTAATCGGTGTGATGACTTACCACTTGGAAACTAGAACAACACTCCAATTTGTCTGTCATCTTGGTTTGAAAGTAATCTTTGTAATAGATCTCAATATATATTCATCCAAGTTTAACACATGGTGTACCACAAGGTTCTATCCTAGGTCCTCTACTGTTTTTAATTTACTTTAATGATCTTACACATTATTCTAAAAAGACATTGTTACTATTATTTGTGGCTAGTTCACAAGCACAAATCGGCGCCTTCAGTTAAATCACCTTCCTGCTTTTTCACACGGCTAAAAAAAAAAAAAAAAACGATTTTTTTTTTTTTTTTTTTTTTTTTTTTTTTTTTTTTTTTTTTTTTTTTTATTTTTTTTATTTTTTAAATAAATCGTTTAACCGAAAACCGTCCGGTTTTGACAGGCGGTTAAACGGAATTGGAGATATCCGTGATGTTACAGCACTATTACAAACGTTTCTCAGGGAAAAACAAAATTCCCTTATTTGTCTTAAAGAGGCGGACAGGGGGGGGGGGTGTGCTCTTTGTGATCTCTCAATGTTATCTCAAAATAGACGTAAAATAGGCAGCCAAAATACATTCAACATTAAATACACTTTAACAAGCTTTATTTTCGATTTTTCAAAATAGATTTATGGGCTATAGCTGAAAGATTTTTTGTGAGATAATACTGATTGTCAAATTTGAAAGAGCAAATACAATTAGAATTACAAAATCAAAATTGGTAGGGGCCTACAGACACGGCTCAACTATCCATAAATTATAACCATTTCGATATTTGTGGGGCCCAGGCGCGTACGCGGGGGGGGGGGGGGGGGGGGGGGGTTGGGGTTAACCCCCCCCCCCCCTTGAGTTTTTTTATGTGTATGTTTTTTTTTGGAACCCCCCCCCCCCCCCAACAGAACAAAATGTCAAATTGTCAAATTTCGAGACCTTACTTAGCGGCTGGCTGAGTCGTTGCGAAATTTTGGGCCCGATTTTAAAACCCCCCCTTGAAAAAATCCTGCGTACGCCACTGGTGGGGCCCCACAAATATTCAATAATTTTGAACCACTACCGGTTGTTGAAAAAACTAGAGAGAGATAGCGCCTTTAGTTTACGTCTTATTACAGCCAATGCCAATGTTGGCTTTTTTCGTATTTGTTTATTATTAATTAATTCATTAATTAAATAAATAATGCTCACGGCCTCACCATATTTCTTTGAATTGGAGCTGAATTGGGTATGATCGGGTTTCATCTAACTTTCACATAATTTGGGGTTTAAAATTACCTTCATAGCAATTTTAGGTTCTAAAAGAGGACTATCACTATAGAAATGTCATAAATTAAATAAGAGCAATAACCATATGTACTCTGAAGGCATTTGAGCTATTTCTGTCCCTTACAATAGACTGTACATAATCATGTCGATGCAGCTGTAAGCAAAGTTTGACACTAGACTTACAATTTGCTACTATACTAATTATGACGTTACTCCTATGATGATGATGATAATGATGACAATAATATTAATGAATATGATTATATAATAATATCTTAGCTATTTTATTGTACACTGTATGAAACATATTACAATGAGATAGACCCATGCCATGATGTAAAGTAATTAATTGATACTAGCACTTTACTCATAGAAGACAAATTCATAAGAACATGATAACCATGAGAAGATCATTCATTTCAGGAATGCTAAATAAAACAAATTACAAAATTTAATTTGATATCCCAACATCATCTACCTAGGCTAAAATTACAGTTAACGTGTTTTGTATTTATCTTGTGTTATTTAATATTTGCTGAAAGACCGTCTATTATGTGCAAGCACTTCAGCTCAAAATAGTTTGAGGGCAAACAATTCTGCTAGCTCTAGACAATATGCAGGTATTGCCAAAAGTGCGGTGTCATTGTTTGCCAAGCTTTTTCATATGGCAAACAATAAGCTGCTACGTGCCGCCTGGCAGGCATGGCAGCCCAGACAATTCAAATTCATGACCCTGCAAATCAAAAATGTTCAATACATGAACTTTTTGTGAGATAATACTGATTGTCAAATTTGAAAGAGCATATACAATTAAAATTACAAAATCAAAATCGGTAGGGGCCTACAGACACAGCTCAAATATCCATAAATTATAACCATTCCCATATTTGTGGGGCCCCACAAATATTCGATAATTTTGAACCACTTCCGGTAGTCGAAACGAGATAGAGATAGCGCCTTTAGTTTACATCTTATTGTAGCCAATGCCAATGTTGGCTTTTTTCTTATTGGTTATAATATGCACAACCAGCCGGCCCGTGTATTGTTATTATTAATTAATTAATTAATTAAATAAATAACGCTCACCATATTTCTTTGAATCAATTGGAGCTGAATTGGGTATGATCGGGTTTAATCTTTCACATATTTTGGGGTAAAAAATTACCTTCATCATATTCATCATGTTCATAGCAATTTTAGGTTCATCAATCAATAAATTCAAGTCAGAACTTGAAAATCATTGGAAGCACCATCCACTGAAATACTACCCATACCAACGCGAATCCAATGCAGTAAAGAGGGGCACATAAGCTGAAGCTTCAAGCATCGACACCAAAGTAAACCAAAGTACATTAAGTAAGTAAGTAAGGACTATCACTATAGAAATGTCATAAATTAAATAAGAGCAATAACCATATGCGCACTTTGAAGGCATTTGAGCTCTTTTGAGCCTGGTCTAAGTTAAACAAGAACTCAACTCAATTGTCCCTTGCATGCACCGCCACTGCACTGCCAGTGCACTGGTACTGGTAGTGTAGCCCCTGTACATAGTGGTGGTAGTTCGTATTGATAATTGGCGTGTACACTTCAAGCTTCATTGTGTAATAATTCCTTATTAGAAGTAGAACTAAAGGTCCTCCCTGAAAAGCTATAAAGTACAAATGTAATCAAATGTTAGATCAATTCGAGCATATCATCACACAGCACTTTTCATATCGAAACTTAGAATACGGAAATGTGTCTCTTACCAACAACAGCAATAAAGATGCTAAATGCTTCCATGATTCCTGGATCAAATCTATGCTAAGTGTGAGCTCGCAAATGTTGTAATGACACCGGCCCCGTAAAGCGTTGTAACTGCAGACCTGGGGGGCGGTGTGACCGCACCGTTTGTCCTACCAGTTTCGTTTGTCCGTCGGACATAACATGCGGGTTTTCTGCTCGCATCGATCGTCCGTGACTCGCACGGATCGTCCGAGGGACGATCCGTGCGGTTTGCTATCCGCACAGTCTGTCCTCATTTTGTTTTACGTGTATATTTGATAAAAGGAAGTAACTCGGTAAATCATGTGGTAGACATTTTTTCTAGATATTACATAATAATAACTCTCTACAATTTTTTTAAAGCAAATGGGCCAGTATTTAAAACCTTTATTCTATGAATATCGGCCCCAAAACTGTTGTAATCGATTATACTTTTGTACGTGGCTTCGTTCTTCAACCAACTCACTACTAGTATATACTCGTGATCCAGGAAAATAAAAGTGATTGAAAATGTGGTTGAAAGTGAGTGGGGGAGGCTAGAGTATTTAAGATAAGGTAGAGCGTAGCACAAATTGGCGGATGCTCAGGGTGTAGGGGCATTTATTACGGTCAGATGAGCATACTTTCTTTTCTATTTCTTTCTATTTAATTATCTTTAATATACTTTTTCAAAAGTGTGGGGGGGGGGGGGGCTTGAGCCCCCAAGCCCGCCGTTCCACAGGTCCTGACAAGTATTGTTTTCCTGATCCGTATATAGGACAAGGCCCTGGGGCAGCTTGCCATAATCCGATATTTGGGTCGTTTTCCGGTCAGAACTAGCCCTTACTATCATTCCAGGATTTTGTTTCAGAACCTGAGACAAAGTTACCCAATCCCTTTAAGTTTCAAAAAGTAGACTTCATTGACAAGTACAAAGGCTAAGGGACCGGGGGGGGGGGGGCTTGGGGGGCTCAGATATCATTGAGCCCCGCAAAATATTTTGCGGGGCTTATAGATATCATTAAGCCCCCAGTTTGTCGGTGGGGCTTAGATATCATTGAGTCCTTAGGGGCTAAGATACCATTGAGCCCCCAATATTTAAGCGGTGCTCAGATATCATTGAGCCGCCCCCGATACTTATTGCGGGGCTCGGATATCATTAAAACCCCCCCCCCCTCCTCCCCAATCATTATATTCTAGGCATGAAACTCATGTATACCTATAATCTACAGGCTTACCATTCAAATATAAACATTTTATAAATATTTATTTGGGGAGGAGGGGGGGGGGGGCTCAGACATCGGATCTCGCATACCATTGACCCCCAAAAATATATTTGGTGGATCTCAGATAATTATCATTGAAACCCCCAAATATTTTGGCGGGACTCTGATATCATTGAGCGCCCCCCCCCCCCATATTTTGGTGGGGCTCAGATATCTTTGAGCCCCCCCCCCCCCCCTTCCCCCTCCCATATGTTTGTGGGGCTCGGATAACATCACGGAGCCCCCCGATATTTGTGTGGGGCTCGGATAACATCACGGAGCCCCCCGATATTTTGTGAGAGGCTCGGATATCATTGAGCCCCCCCCCCCCCCATATTTTGGCCGGGCTCGGTTATCATTATCATTATAGATTGGTGCACATCATTATGCTCGATCATCCTCTCCTATCTGTTTGATTTCATTCCTCTTTTAGTCATCCTTTATTTGCTACCTATGATATTTGATAAATACCTATATATGCAAAATAAACCCTGGAGGTTTAAAGTTGTAAAGTCCAGGGCAGTTCAACACACGCAATCATGAAATAAGGATGTCTTCATCGAAGTGTCTCTGTAGGTTTAGAACCAAGCCCTGTGCCTACCCGCTCAGGCCACTCTACATTCAGGGGCGTCGCTAAAAGGGGGGGGGGGGGGGGTGTGGGGTTGAAGTCGGTGGGATTTTTGTTATGTCGGTCGGCCAGCAAGTTTTTCCCCTTCGAGCTGTGACTTTTTATCGGACAAAGAAACATTTTTGAAAATTCAGACAATGATTTAGAGTCAGTACAATGAATAGTCTTCTTTTTCTAATAATTTAAGGAAACGTTGAAGCTCCCGCACTTCGCGCGAGAGGGGGAGAAACTGAATTCAGACAATTAGGGTTAAGAGTAGAGAACGGTACACAACAAATCGTCTTCTTTCTATAATAACTTAATGAAACGTCTAAGCTTCCGCGCTGCGCGTGGGATGGGGAAACTGAATTCAGACAAGGATTAATAGTCGAGAACGGTACAAACAAATCGTCTTCTTTTCATAATAATTTAATGAAACGTCTAAGTTACCGCGCTTCGCGCGGGAGGCCTTTCACCCATCCCCTCCCCCACGCGCGCTATTTAAGTGATTCGCTTGCTCAATACCGCCCCTCCCTAAAATAAGATCCTAGCTACGCACCTGCGTTTAAATATATAGCTATGATGCTAACTAAGTTGACGAAATAATTTGTATATTTATGTCGTCGACGAAAATGACCATTTGCGCATAACAATTTAGCCTTCGCATGATCATTTTTGTGATAGTTTCCTTCTGCATTTAATTTTGTTGCTGTTATGAGTTTATATTCATATTTTTGTTATCAAACAGGAATAAATAAATGAATATATAAATACATTTGTACAATACGATTTGTACGATAGTTGTACAATGATGATAGAAGAACCAATGAAAATCGCAACTGATCTTCCCTAATTCTTTTCCCCTTTTCTTTTCTTCCTCTTTGTTTTCTGTCCCTTTCTCTCCTCTTTCCCTTTCTTTCTCTCTCTCTCTTTGCTGAGGGGGGGGGGGGGGGGGGGGGAGGGGTACACATCGGGAAAAATTGCAACTGATCTCCCCTACCTTTCTTCTTCCTCTTTTTTCCCCTTCCCTTCCCTAACTTCTCTCTCTCTCTCTCATTTAACTTTAATGATGGAGGCAGGGGCCTTGCGCCCCCTCCCCCGATCCATATGATGTTGGTGGGATTAATTGCAACTGATCTCTGCTTCTTTTTACCCTTTTCTTTACTTCTTCCTCTTTTGTGTTCCATTTTAGCTCTCCTCTTCCCTTTCCCTTCTTTCTCTCTTTTTTTTTTGGCGGGGAGGGGGGGGGGTGGTCGGGGGGGGCAGAGGCAAGGGCCTTTCTCCGCGATCCACATCTTGTGTGCATGAAAATTGCAACTGATATCCCTTCTTTTCTTTTTTCTTTTGGTTCTTTCCCTTTCCTTCCTTCTCACTTGTTTTGCGGGGGGAGGCAACAGCATGGGCGGCAAGACCCTTTCGACCCCCCCACCGATCTCCTTCTTTTCCCCTTTTTCCTTTCTTCTTCCTTTCCTCTTCTCTCTTCTTTCCCTTTCCCTTCTTTTCTCTCCTTCTCTCTCTCTTTCTCTCTCTTTTGTTTGCTGAGGGGCAGGGGAGGGTAGGCGAAGGCCTTTTGCCCCCGATCCACACCGCGTTGGAGGGAAAAAACACAATTGATCTCCCGTACCTCTCTTTTCTTTCCCTTTTCCTTCTTTTCCTTTCTCTCTCTTTGAAGTTTGCTGTAGAAGGGGGAGGCAAGAGCCATTTGCCGCCCCCCCCCCCGATCCCCAACTTGTTCGCGGGGAAAACTGCAACTGATATCCCTCTTTTTTCTTTCCTTCCTTTTATCTCCTCTTTTCCCTTTTTTCTTTACCTTCTCTTCCTTCTCTTTTTCTTTTGCTGGGGGGGGGGGGGGGGGCAACAGCCTGGGGGGGCAACAGCCTGGAGGCAAAGGCCTTTCGCCCCCCGATCACCTTTTCTTTTCTTCTTCCTCTTCTTTCTTTCCCTTACTCTCCGCTTTACCTTCTCTCTCTCTCTCTTCATTTTTTGTTGGCGGTTGGGGGTCAAGGCCCTCTCGCCCCCCCCCCCCACCCCTGGATCCGCGCCGGGAAGACCTGTAGTGTCATCCCTAGCTAGCTGGCATAACTTAATATGGGTTATCCAGTCGTTTCATTCATTAAGTATAATTATACTTGTATTGAATATGTATACGTGTGGACTAGAGTACGGACATTCGGTGCGGCAGGCGGACTATTGGTGCGAGACCTCTTCCGCACAGATTGTCCGTCAGACATTTGAGTGGCGCACGGAAAGTATGATTTTTGTATACATATCAAAGTAATATTTAGCACATTTAAGCACAGTGTGTCTCACGATTCAGCTTTGATGGCAGCCAATATTTTTTTTTAAATCATTATATCTGGTTATCTTTAAAAATTAAAAATAAATTTCTCTGCGAATATCAAATCGACTCTAAAGTTATGTTCTGTCGTTTTGGGGAAGTGATATGATTCGAGTCTTCGAATGGGTATTGTCATTCAATTCAATTAAATTCAAATAATTTTATTTCATAACTCGATCAAAACATGTCGGCATAACAAGACCCCTGAACATCCGGTGGCTTTGCCCCCCCCCCCCCCTGGACCCTATCTAGGGCCCTAAGGCGGTCCACTGGATGCTAATCTGATGGAAATTTAATGCCCAAAACCCCTAAGCTTCTGGGGGCTCTTTCGACCTCTTTGTGCATGGCTGATTGTCAACGAAACGTAGTTAAGTCTTTTGTCGAGTCTGCTCGTTGCTATGGCAGGCAACCAGTAAAAACCAATTCGTTTCATCAAATTATGGAAATGCAAGCATTAATTTAAACAAACAGAACTTTGTATTTCTGATTGAGGTGTCGTATGAAAGGGCAGAAAATAAACTTTCTAGAAATGTGATTTTCTCTTTGAAATTCAGATAACGCCCGCCAAATGACTTTTGGTACCCTCTCTTCAATTTGTTTTTAATCACTCGCGCGTGAAATATGCATCATATGAGTTACATCAAATGAAAGAGGAGGATCTATGCTTTACAAATATGTGTCATTTATTAATTATAATTGTGATTAATTCTCGGTTTCGTTTTTTCTGGGACGCACTGTATAGTAGGCCTACTTGCGATATGGGCACAAGGTCATTTTCCTCGACAACATAAATATATTAAGATTTATTTCGTTAACTTAGTCAAAATCGTAGCTACACCCGTACAAAATTATATTACCACCTCCCCCACAACCCCCCCCCCCCCCACCTTTTCGCCGGCTAATTCGCGGATAAACTTTTTCTCACG